TTCGCTACAAACAGTGAATGACTTTTCAAACTGTTGCCACAAAGTATTATCACCCTGTGTTATATTTAAAGAAATTAAATAATGAAAAATCTGCATAAATGTATGTATATTTCTCGCATTGTGACAAAACAACGGTACATAGAGACATCGAATTTTGAATGACGTAATCCTCGTACGAATATGGGCATGTGGAAGACCAAATTTGAAATTTGGAATTTGTTTTATTATCGATGTACCATTTTGTAAAACTTTAAAGAATTTTTGTTTAACAAACTCAAGGATTTCAAAGCGAGCAACGGCAACGTTGTACAGAAAAAAGATTTTTATCTCCAGCGCGTGAGTCTGTATAGGAAATTCTAAAGATATGCTCATTTTAAAATTATTTTGGGATATTGCTGTTGAACTGAATTTCGTGGTTTAAATGCAAAGAACGTGATATTTAATAAATAAATGTAACACACAAAATGTTAAAAAAAAGTCCTTTTGGAAGTAATTTAAAATCTGAAACATTTCAGATTTTGTTTCCTTTTTAAATTTAATCTATCTGTTATTGATGAACAAACTACACTATTTAAAAGCAATAGATGTCGTTCTTAAAAATATAATTTTATTTTATTTTTCAATCTGATTGATTTAAATAAAAGTGCACTTAATTTATGATATAATATCAAAGTAAAAATATTAAATATTTTTACAGTATTATATTAAATATTTTAGTCCGAAGGGGCAACTTGCCCATTAATTTCGTTTTGGAATTTTGCGTTGATTCGGTGCAAGCGTTGTTTCACTTTTCAAATTGTTGCCACCAATATTACCGCCCTGTATTATATTTAAAGAAATTAAATAATGAAGAATCTGCATAAATGTATGTATGTTTCACATTTGATAAAACAATGCTCTATCGGATTTTGATACAACAACGGTACCTAGAGCCATCAAATTTTGAATAACGTAATCCTCCTGCGAAAATGAGCATATGGAAGCCCAAATTTGAAAGTTGGAATTTGTTTTATTATAGATTTCATATTTTGTGAAACTTTATAACGAATTTTTGATTAGCAAACTCAAGGATTTCAAAGCGTGCAATGGCAACGTTGTACAGAAAAAACATTTTTATCTCCAGCGCGCGAGACTGTGTATGGGAAATTCTAAAGATATGCTCATTTTAAAATTATTTTGCGATATTGATGTTCAACTGAATTTTATCGGTTAAGTGCGAAGAACATGATGTTTAATACATAAATGTAACACACACACACACAAAAAAAAAAAAAAAAATGTTGAAAAAACGCTCCTTTGGACGTGATTTAAAATCTGAAACCTTTAGGGACTTTTTTACCTTTTTTCTTTTTTTGTTCATTTTTTTTTCTTTACATTTTAAACATAGAGAAGATACATAAAGTTCTCACATTAGTCTTAATGCATATTCAAAATATTTCACTAATCCACCTGAACCATATCTGTTAATGAATCATATTAAACTTAAGAGGGCTCTTTTGTGAGATCTTTAAAACCTAGTCTTTTCAGATTTTTTTAAAATTAATTTTTAGTCCAAAAAGCCTATTAGTCTCAAAACGGTTCGGGTTTAATTTTGATATCTGTAACTCGAAAATTAAAGAATTTTATCATTTTTTTAAACAGCAATAAATTTTAAATGAAAATTGTTTACTAAAAGTAGCACTTTTAAATGAAAGTTTATTTATAAATTTGATTGATATTGTCTGTAATTCCCAGCAAAATTCTAGAGATTTTTAAATAATATTTTGTGTCTCCTTTTTCATTACATATAAAGGCAAATTAGAAATTGCTTTTCAAAAAAGAATAAAATTTGAATAATACATTTACGTCGAATCTTACCCACCCACACATACACACGCAAGGGGAAAAAAGTAAAAAAAGAGGTGGCCTCAACAAATGAATTGGCTTGGTAAAGGAGTTCTTATGTTTTGCTTCCATCTTGAAAGTGAAAACCTGCCAACTTAAAATGGTCTCGATGAAATCTTACCTAAGATCACTCGAATGATTTGACGTAATAAAAAATCTCACCGGCTCATGACATTTTATTTACTATAAGTAAAAGATTCAGTCGCTTTACTCAATATACAATTGTAGCCAGATGTATATCAGATGAATATTGATTGCAATCAGATAAATATCTGAGTTCCAAGAGAAGCTGCATCTTATTTAACAACGTTTTTCATTTACGTTAAAAATAACTTACCGGACACATATTAATTTAGAAGTCAAACAACAAAAATCAGCATTATATTTCCAAACATAACTCTGATTTTTTTTTGTCTGACTTCTAAATTAACCTTAAGATTTATACGCAGGTGAGGTAATGAGTGTATCGAGAAGTATCGAACAGCTAACAAGTGTCAGCATTTGCTTGTAATAAAAAGAGTACTTGCTAAATCTGAAAATTAAAGCCCAGCTGTGTTAAAGAGACTAATTATATTTTTCGAAATACTTTTTCTCACAGACAATATTACTGGGTCATGATTTTTATAACAGAAGTAAAATTATTTGAATAACTTTTAGCAATTTGAAATTTTTATGATTATATTATTGCATATTTTTTATATTATATGACATACACTGATGAGCCAAAACATTATGACTATCTCTACATTTTTCAATGAACTCGTCTGGATGAGGTGGAGAGCACGTGTTAAAGTGAGAATGGTATTTAACAGCTGCTGGAGAAGGTAAAGAATCACTCTTGCACTTACTTTTGCGAATGATGGAGAAGACTGCTGATCTAAGCGAATTTCATAAAGGGCAGATTATAATGGCCCGAAGACTCGGAACGAGTATTTCCGCAACTGCACGACTGGTAGGTTGTTCATACTCTGCCGTTGTTAGTATTCATGTAAGGTGGATAAATGACCATGAAACCAGTAGTAAACATAAAGGTGTTGGACGTCCACACGTCATCAAAGAAAAAAGACGTCGGAGAATGTCCTGCTTGGTAGAGCAAAATCAGCGCCAGACAGTGGTTTAGCCGATAGCCCAATACAATGCAGGTCCAAGTGTTTGGGAACAAACAGTTCAGCTGACACTGTTGGATATGGTACTATATATGGAGACGTCCCACTCATATGACCAAGCGTCATTTTCAACTACGCCTACAGTGGACTCGGGAACATGGAGACTGAACCATGGATTGGAAGAATCACGATTTCTTATTAATCATGTCGATGGTTGTGTTAGGGTACGCCATCTACTAGGCTAACAGTTGCTCCCCCTCCCTGTATAGGAGGTAAAAACACAGGTTGGTGGGGTGGTATAATGATTTGGGGGACATTCTGTTGGGCGGCTCTGGGACCCTTACTTGTGATAAAACAGTCCATGAAGGCTGCGGACTATCTGATCATAATTTCAGATCAGTTTCAGCTTTACATGGTGTCTACCTTCTCAACTGGAAATGGAATATTGCAGCAGGACAACGCTCATGTTACAAGGCTCGAATTGTGTTGGAGTGGTTCGAGGAGCTGAAGGATGATTTCTCGCCACTTAACTCTCCGGATCTTAACCCGACAGAGTACCGATTCTCAACCCGTGGTACGAAAGAGAAAAATAGAAGGTACGCAAAGAAACAAAGAAATTTTAACTATTAAAACTATTATAAAAAGAACAATTGATAAAAATTTACTGTGATCTAACTGAAAATTTTAAAAGTAACAGACGTGTTAACTTTTGGCTGAATCGGGGGGGGGAGGACTATTTAAAGGCATTAAATTTTTATTGCCTTTTTGCAAAACCTATTTGTGGGAACAAGAATTTTTTTCCATGTTGTATTTGAATAATAAATACGGAATAAAATTAAAAGTGGATTCTAATTTACGGTTAAAACTAAGTGAAATTAGATCAGACATTAAGACATTGATCTCTCTTAAACAGGCCCAAATTTCACACTAAATTTTAAAATTATTAACCAGTGGAGTAGCGAGTATAACTGGTCCCCCGGGACAAAATACCGTTTTAGCGCCCTCCCGAAAAAACACAGTGATACGATGAAAATCTTGTTTGGAGACCACCATTTGGCGCCCCTCTGCGAGCGGCGCCCGGGGCATCATACACCCCCTTGCCCCCCTAGCTCCCTCGCAACTTAAATTTTGATAATTAAAATGGTAACCAATTTTTAATCGAATATTTTTTATGTGTGCATATTTAATACAAATAGCCAACAGATTGGGAAAAAGGCACAATACACTTTTTATTTTAACCTTTGAGAAGCTGGAAAATAATCATTTTAATATGTAGTGGTGGTACTAATGTTTTTCAATTTTTATTTAGATGGTACGCGTTAGTCAAAAGGTTGAGAACCGCTGCGATTGAGCATAGTTGGGATGTCATGCAGCCGCAGTTCAGAGCTCAAGCATCACCATTTCGGAATATCTGGAATTTGCACGAACGCTGCTCAGAGATTTGGTACAACCTGTCTCCAGTCATATAACAAGAATCATGCGAAGGCGAGCTGCAGTTGTTTTGTAGGACAAATGTCATGTAATCAATCAAATCATGTTTTCGCTCCTCAGCGTATATGAAACATATAATAATATAATTATATGGAGTGTATTATGATTATATTATTAAATTCCTTTTATGAATAAATTTACAATGTATAATTATTAAATTTACATAGTGTTATATTATAAAATTTATTGCAATATAAATTTATGGAATCTATTTTCATCATTATTCTTTCTCATATGAAAATTCAATTAACAGACAAAATAATTAATAAAAATAAATGTTAATTAGCATTAAAGTTTTAAAATTCTGCTAAAAAGTAGCATAGAAATATTACTGCCACTTTGATTTCAATAAAGTTTTAATAACTTTTACTTAACATTGCTCTGTAATCGTTTAATCGAAGAATGACGCGAATAATTAGACTAAAAAGTAGGAGCTGGAAAAGTTAATAGTTAAATGCGGTATCCACGTGCAATTGTTTACAAACCATTAGGTCAGATGGCGTTACTGTCGTCATCGCTATGGAGGTGTCTTGATGATCGAAGAATGACGCGAATAATTTTATTTTCGATTTTTGTGTATAGTTTTATTAATTTGGTTAATGGAAATTTATCTATACCGGCCATTACACCAGAATACTGTAATTCAACAGAATACTATGATTCAATATGTGTTCGGTGCAAGAGATGCGGAAGAGACGAAAGTCAGTCGAGCCTCCAATACAGGAATCATGACGGTAAGAAAACCGGCTTGTACTAGTAAAATCCGGTTTTGGGGACCTGCAGTGGGTTTGAGATATTATGGTACGTTGACAGGATGTCATCTAGTTCAATGACAGTGAATTTCATATATAACTTACCTTATGCTATGTAGTGATATTTCTACTTCCCATACTTAGAAATGCTATTGTAATTGTGTATGATGTAATCCATTGTGCAACCACCTCTTAGTTGCCTAAGCAGTCGGTAGCCAAAAACAAAGAAAATGAAACACCATACATTTAAGAAGTTTTTCATGTGGCGGATTTGCAAATTAATGCCATAACGTTTCTCATTATTACAATAAAATTCATAAGTGTTCAAAAAAATTGTTGAAAATACATTGCTCAATTGTTAATTTTTTAAATATATTCTAATGAATTTACTAATATTTTTAATATCCTTTTTTCGAAATTTAAGCTAAGCAGGATGTTCTGCACAAATTTTTCAGGTAAATATTGAAATATATACATGTTTCATTACAAAAGAAAAAAAAAGAAATGCTGGAATAAATATTAAAAAAAAAACTATATAACAAGCTGTCAAGTTAGAAGATATTTCACAAGTGAAAATGTATATTTTGCATGTGCTTTATGCAATGTATCCATAGCTTATACAAAGAAATTTATTTTCCATTTATGTGCATATATGTAATAGTATGCACATAAACTAAACAATAATTTAAATCATGAATTTAATAGTATGCCAGTTTTGAAATCACTCTTAAATTTGCAGAATCAAAGTTTGCATCTTGCATGCATTAGGATGAATTAATGTGTTAATTTTAGGAATTTCTAAAATAAAATGGAATTGAGGCTTTTTATACTCATCATTAGTTTGAAATATTTTACTGTATGTAATTGACTATTCGTTACATGCAAATCAAGACTTAACAAGAGCAAAAATTTCATGAAGGCATTTTTATGTTCTTGTATTGTAGCTCAATACATAATTCTCAGTCATATGCTGTTTACTGCCATAAATTGCTATTTTAATTCTTAATTTAGTATTCTAGATCTGTACCGATTAAGATTGGTTCTAAATTTATCATTTTTTATTGTAATTTTAATTGTTTCCAAGTCTGAAACATGCATGTAAAAAAGTAGATAAGAATTTCAAGATTAAATTTTAGATAAATTTTAGAGTAAAATATAAGTAATGTAAAGTTCAATTACCATAAATAAACTTTAATCCAAAATGAATAATGAAGCTAAATAAGCTCCAAATAAATATTTGAAGTTAGTAATTAGAAAAAAGGTCTGTCATGTTTATTTTAAAATAAGAATATTAAAACTCTGAAATATATACTCAAAACAGGATAAGTGTGAATGTGTATAATGTCTCAGCATACATTTATTTCTTGGTTATAAAAATGGTAGATATGCATAGTGTAACTTGTGGTTTTAATCTTGTAGCTTATTTAGTTGAATCCATGCAATTTAATTATTGCTTATTTATTATAATATCAGGGGGAAAATAAGAAGAGGTATTATTCCAGATAATTAAAACTGATAATTTACTTTGGGTTTTCTAACTGGGCATACATTTATTTAAGTCATCTATTTTTCTCCATGATTTGAACCTGAATTTAAGGAACTTTTAAAAATATATTTACAATCCATTCATCACACTAATATTTGTATTATAATATTTGCATCTTTTTATATCCTTTTTAAAGTTTTAGAATAAATTAAATTGATCCATTAAATTAATTTTTGTTTTTTGGCCCACTCTGAAAGAAGTTTCCCCATTACTGCCTTATATTATTGGAAATTTTTTCTAATACAACTTTTTTGATAATTTAAATTAAGTAATTTTTTAAAAGAATTTTAGTATGAAATTCCATACTCACTGCATTATATTTTTGCCCATCACTGCCTTTAGTTATTAGAAACCTTTTTTATAATACAACTTTTTATGGTTTTTTAAAAGAATTTTAGTATGAAATTTTGTACTCAAATAATCATTTTATAATGATCATTTAAGTACAAAATTGTTTAGTAAAAACTTAATTTTTTGATATTATTGTAATTTTTGTCTTTCATTTTAGGTTCATGTACATGCAAGTCTGGATTTTACATGAAAGAGAAAAAAGGACCTCATGATATAATATGTGAACCATGCCCGAAAGGCAAAGTAAGTGGCATAAGTGTTGTAATTTTATTAACTTCTAATTATAGATTCTGTATAAATTTCTGAGTTTTAAATAAGTTTTCCCCAAAAAGTCAGTGTTAGTTTCATTTTTAAAAAATTTATTTATGTATTTTATTTATTTATTTAATTTTGCAATGTTTTAATCTGATTAAGATAAATGCTAATGTAATTCATTAATGTTTTAATAATTTATTAATAAAATTTTTTGGTACTTCTTTGTTATAGTGGCCTCCAGTTGTATTTGGTGATTTTAGATTTGCTCCAAAATCTCAGCTATAATTCCGCCAAGCTCATAAAGTGTGAAACGTAAACAATACAATATATAATAACAGTAATTCTCACATGTCATTTGCTAACATATTTTTAAAAATCCTCACCTTTATTATTATTTTATTGCATCTAATTTTTTCAGTCAACTGCAGCACTTTCACACATATTAAGCTGTGTGTTACACATTTCATGGATATCAGCTCGTCTGCCCAAGAATACATAAATCTAATAGCAGTGATGAATGATATTCAGGAACCATTGAACCAACTTCCAACACAGAGGCCCTTCTTCTTTTTGTAATTTTTAAAATGGTTTTGTCGTTAACATAAAGTTTCATGTTATGTGCCATTTTCACATACTCATTTGTCAGGTAAAAGACCTTTTTCTTGAAAACACTACTATATGGTATCCATCTCATTACTTGGTAAATTAAAGATTGTTGATATGACATTCACACACACACACACACAAAAGAAGCAACTATATTTTTAAATAAACAATGCAAATTCAAAAACCTCATAAAAATTAATAACATAAGAACTCATGGTAAGCTCATAAATACAATACATTGCTAATATACAGTATTATGTGGTGAGGTATAAGAACATGCTACCAGATTTTTTCAAGATATCTCAGTTGATCAGTAATTCAATCTCATGGGCCGCTATAACAAAGAAGTACCAATTATTTTTATTTTTCATTCTTGCTATCATCTCTTAACATATTATTACTAACATCAGAATTTAAGGAGATGTACCATATGAACTTTCAAGTAATGTCATTTAAAATGTACAAGAATAAGCTTTATTAGCTTTTTTAGTTTCTGTAGAAATGTTGCTAGCTGAGAATGTAAGTAAGAATTGAGGATTAATTATCAAAATGTTTTAAAAAAATTATGGAGATTATCAAAAGAAATTAAGCAATTAAAAAAGCTTGGAATCAGACAACTGATTTAGAAATAAATCTGTGTGAGGACTTCAAGATTTAAGGGAAACTATGTCATCAACTGTATTTGAACATCTCTTAATGAAAACAGTAATCATAATAGTATTCCAAACAAAAAGAAGGTTAAGACACAATAACACGCCGAATAAATACTAATTCAGAAGTCAAACAACAAAAATCAGCGTTATATTTACAAAATTTTCACAGGACTAGTTTCGATGGTTACCGCAAATCATTTGCGGTTTTGCAGCTGAAGATGATGGTTCGGTAAAACCATCGAAACTAGTCCTGTGAAAATTTTGTAAATATAACGCTGATTTTTGTTGTTTGACTTCTGAATTAGTAAAAAGAAGGTTATTTAAACAAATTCATAGTTAATTTAAAAAAAACGCTAATAATGAGAGATCTGTCAAAGAGACATTTGATAAAGAAAATATAAGAGTGCAAGAAATAGTCAATCTCAGAAATTCAGAGCAAATTGTAAATATTTTTTCTCAAGTCCTTTTCTCCCAGAATGAAAAATGATACTGAAAAGTATATTAGAAATGCAAACATTTTTGAAGGAAATTATTGAATATATCAGCTTCTCATATGAAACTCAAAAGATCCTTGCTGAACAATAGGAGGAAAATACCTAATATAAATATATGGTTGATCTTTGGATTATGGTAACTTGGTGATTTTTTGGCGAAAATTTGGCGACCAACTCTGCTACAGCAATCCTCTATTTTTTTTTCGTCGCCATTTTGTCTTCACGTAGTAAAGACATGTTTCTTTTCTTTTTATTTACTCAACACTTTTTCCAACAATCTACTAGCCGAATTACACTTATGCTAGAAATTTTATGTAACAAAACTGCTTAATCATGACAAATATTAACTGCAAAATTGGGAAAAAGTGCACAATTGCAAACTCCTTGCGCGTTTTTCAGAATAGCACATGCAACCATTTACACGTCGACTTATTTTTACTTAAAAAAAATCTCAGAATTGCACAAAAATGGCATTGCACACGCTCTTAACTTTATCCATCTACACTGCTATTTTTCTCATAAATTACAAAAATTTGCACGAAAATGCAGGAAAAAATTTTCTTAATCTTTAAACTCGGTAAAAAGCACATATATGAAATTACCTGATCGCGAAAAAGTATATACCCTTTCCAAGGTTGAACATTTCCATGTATAAAATAAATAAAATATCCAAAAGCTTTTACCTCTAAATTATCTATTATATTATAAACGTCACCAACGAATTTATACGCAAACATTAAAAATAGTTACAAATACTTAGTGTCAAATATTTAAATTATTTCCATACACGTTTACTTCAACTGAAATGTATATCAAATTCCTACAAACATAAAATTCACAAAATAACTACAGTCAAAAGTCGTTAATCCGGACTCGTCAGGACTTCGGCGATTCCGGATTATAGATCATCAGTTTAAATCTTGTAAGATGGCATGCACAAATTCTAAAATTAAAAATATGAAACCGTATTTTAGGAAATAAAGAACAATTATGATCGAAGGGTATCAAAATTTACAAAAAAAGAAGCTTAATATTTATTTGTTTACTTTATTAAACATTTCTTTCAATGTAAATTGTTTCGTTTTATGTGTTAATACTTTCTCTTTAATTCTATAAACAGACATAATTTCTTGTTCAGTTAAAAGCTCCGCTGTTCAAGTCCCGTAATTGCTGTGCCGAGAATACCAACTAACTTGTCAATCAAAATTTTTTCGTTTTCACTAACCTCTCTGTCACCTTCTTCATGTCTTTATCCATTTTTTGCAGCAATTCCACTTTTTGTTTGACGGACATCGAGACATACTTTCGTTTTGTAGATCCTTTGGGAGCTCCAGAATCGGAAATTGACATAATCGAAAGTTCAAGTTTACTTTTATAAAATTGCTCTTACAGTCTGCAAAAAATAATAAGCTGCATCCAATTCGAAGATTAAGGAATAACGCAAGCATCAACATTAACTGAAATAGATAATTGTATAATTTTAGCTTATACCATCCGTTATACGTTAAACGCGCACGAGAAAACGTATTCTGCGCGTAAACGCCTATGCGCATGTGTCAACGCGGCACATGCGCAGAAAGTTTTTAGCTTTGAGGTCCGGATTATGGGTGTCCGAATTAACGACTTTTGACTGTACTATTTACCACAAAAATTTTGAAAAGTCTCATTGGCTCCAAAAATGTGATGTAACTACCGCTATACTTGTTATTGTCAATCATCTGAAAATTTTATCGGCTGAATTAAAAGATTTTGTAACTTAAAACAAATTGATTTCCCAACTTGGATGATGCAGCCAATGCTAGTGGATTTGGCTGATATTTCAAATATGCAGTAAAAAGAAGAATTCACAGAAATGCAAAATTATGAGTCAATTAAAACTTTATTTAATATAAAAGGAGCGATGACATAGCTTTGTGAGGAAACCAGAATCAGATATCCAAATGCAACAAAATTTGCAAGAGAACTATTACCGTTTCCATCTTCATATTTTGTTGAATGCGGATTTAGTGCCATAAATGATTTGCTGCTAAAAAAAAAAAAAAGAAAAGAAAAAGAAAAGAAAGAAAGAAAGAAATTGGTTGGATATAATGAAACCAGGAGACTTGAGACTCAAGTTATATAAATTGGAACCTGACATAAAATTTCTTTGCAGCAAGTATCAAGCGCAAGGAACTCACTAAATTTAAATAATAAAAATTTCTAATACTTAAAATGAAAAACTTTCACTAAAATGAGTTTGAATTTCAGTTCTCCACGTTTTTAAAGTTCGCTTACTGTGTTTGCTCACAACATTTCATAGTCATTTCTTCCCAAAAGCTATCATTCAAGTTTCTTTCGTGAACATTTCAATTTTTAAATATTAATAATTATGTATATGCTAGGGGGAGCTTAAAAATTTTAGAGAGGATTAGGTGGGGCATAGCACAAAAAAGGTTGGAAAACACTGGTTTAAACGTTCGTCGACTTTGTTTACCATACGCACATGGCTCACAAAATAGTCCATTGTTGATAAAATCTATACCATTTTGGCGGAAGTACTGTGTCACGTACTGTATTCCTTGATGGCCAAGTCATCGATGTCAAAGTGATAATGACAATTTTGTCATCGTCTTTATTGCCGTCTCAGGAAAAGGAGTTATCATTTCATTGTCAACTAAGTAGGCTGCAGCAGCAGAACTCCCTTGTAGTTGACTGGTTTTGCACGTAGTTCAAAGACGTGGCTTGACTGGTTTTGCACGTACTTCAAAGAGTCCATTTGATAAACATGGAACAATAAAAGTATATTATCTGGGGTTTCCTTGCGAAAGAAATGACTAATCATATCGTCTGAATCACCAAAGTTCGAGATTTCTCGCTTCATTGTCTTTGAGGTTGATAACAAATTTTTGCCAATTTCTGGTGCGTACAGTACATCAGTAAGCTCAATAGATTTTTGTATGTTTCCACGCACATGTGGTCGCGCACATGTCAATGTCCCCACAGCCATATTGGTATTGTCTGTTTGTTACCAACTGTGATTTCTGCTTGTTTGTTAAAGTGACGGTACGTCTTGAAATACTTGGCTGAATTTGTAATGTGTGCTGTAGCTCCATCGTCTTTAATCCACACATTTCGGCCACAATCATCTTCTTGACAAGCAAACGCACTGCATTGAGTATTTGCAAAGGTCTCTGTTTTGCCATTCGTCGTGGTTGGCATGTCAGGGAAAACTGAGCAAAATTTACCAATGTGCCTGGATTTATTACAATGAAAACAGATACCATTGAAACCTTTCACACTACCACTGGTCTTACTAAGTCTGTTCATCGTTTTGGCATTATTTGTTGTCAAGGGTTGGGATTGGCTGACCATCTGAGGTTTCTTACCACCCTTCTTCCATTTCTTTCCATTATGTTTTGCTCTATAATTAGCATTTGCCACAAAAGTTATCGTACTTTTGTTTCTAAGCTTTTGACTTCTTCTTTACAGCTTCATGTTCGATCAGTTTTTCAGGTGACTTTTCTGTCTTTGGCATTGAGTCCCACTGTGATTTGAACACGATATATTCGTCATTAGGAAGAACAGATAAGGTTCATGGTGCTAGCAAGTCTGCGGCAACTTTCCTTTGCCGCTCAACTCTTGCTCACGTTGAAGATCCATCCACAGTGTATGTAAACGTGCGAGTGATTGCATTACACTTTCGTCTTTCTTGATCCGAAAAGTGAAAAACTGTTGCAGAAGTGTGTCCAATTTCACGCTTGACACCTTCTCATTGTTACTTAATAACTCATTCCATATTGCTAGTGCAGAATTACCATGCATACGGATCAAATTTAACACATTCGGTGACCCATTTGTGCGAATGATCACAGCAGCATTCGCCTTTGCATTTGCTTTTGCAACTTCGTTGTACTCGCATATCGTTTTTTCATTCGCGCTTTCTGCCAGAGCTTTTGGCTCAATAAGGGAATTATTGAAGATGCCCGCACATTTGTTGAGCACAAATAAAGAGTTTATTTCAAATGTCCAATGAGTTCAGTTGGATAAACCTTCCAATTTGGTACACTGAACAAAATTTTTAGCTTCTATATTACGTCATTATTAACCAGGAAATATGCAGCAAAAGAAAGGCTATCGGTACATTGTAGTGTCTACCTACACACTGTTCGGGTGAAAGTGTTGAAATCAAAAATGAAAGTAAAAAAAAAAATCTGTGATTCAAATATGTTAATATAGCAATCGTTAATTTATTTGCACACATGCTAGGCCCATAACCTGTTATAAAATTAACAGAGTGATGGCTAATTGAATTTTTGGACTTTATTAAGAAAAAAGTAAAGAGAACTTACATACATCTTATTGTTTACATGACAACTTTTAGAATGACGAAAATAATAGTGATGCCAGATGCATAAAACATAACAATAAAACAATGATGCCACTGAAATTGCACATAATATCAATTAAATGCTCGATTCTCAACAGAATCTATGGGGGTTACATCAGACAAAAGTGCAGATTCAGAAGTCAAACAACAAAAATCAGCGTTATTTTTTCAAAATATAATGCTGATTTTTGTTGTTTGACTTCTGAATTAGTAATTGTTTGGCGTGTTATTGTATCTTAAAAGTGCAGATGTTATGAATTTGTTATTATGTCACACTTATCCATAAGTGGCACTAAATCATGTTGTATGGCAACATTTTTCACAGTATGCAAGATAATACATAAGCACCAACAAAAATAATTTTGTAGCCCATACAATTTTTTCCTTTCCAAATAGTATACATATTCCATCAATTTTGAAGAAATAGAACTACTTGCTTGTAGAAATGTCAATGTGATACATCAGCAAATTAATCGGAAAAGACAGAAATAAAATAGTGAAAGTAGGTACATCAAAACTATTATAGTCAAAAGTCTTTAATTCGGACTCGTCGGGACTTCGGCGATTCCGGATTATTGATTTTTCCGGATTATAGATCATCAGTTTAAATCTGGTAAGATGGCATGCAGAAGTTATAAAATTAAAAATATGAAACCATAATTTATGAAATAAAGAGCAATTATGATCTAAAGGGTATCAAAATATACAAAAAAAAAAGCTTAATATTTATTTGTTTACTTTATTAAACATTTCTTTCAACGCACGCATGCGTAAAGCATACATTACGCATAGTCGAAATTAGAAAATTGCAACCAGAAAACTATTTGATTTGTATTCTTGATATTTATAATGACAAAGAATTTGATTTAAATCATATCAAAGACGGAGTACATCGAGATGAAATATTACATGTAGTAAGGAATTATAAGCCGAATAAAATAAAAACATCTGCCCTGAAGATAAGGATAGTGCTGACAGATCAACTTCCAGTTCATTGCGCACCGCCACGTCTTCCCCTCCCCCGCACAGAGCAGAGTGATTGATAAACAGATTTCGGAATGGTTAGAGAAACAAAGGAGCCTTTATCCATTTTTTGCAGCAATTCCACTTTTTGTTTGATGGACATCAAAACATGCTTTCCCTTTGTATATCCAGCATCGGAAATCCTATTTGACATAATCAAAAGTTCCAACTTACTTTTATAAAATTGCTCTAACAGTCTGCAAAAAATAATAAGCCAGATCCAATTCGAAGATTAAGGAACAACACAATCTGCAACATTAACTGAAATAGATAATTAGATAATTTTAGCTTAGATTATACCGTCCGTTATACATTAAACGCGCATGCGTTAACGTATTATGCACATGCGCACACGCATATGCGTAAAAGTATTACGCGCATGCGTCAACGCCTATGCGCATGCATTGAAGCATGCGCAGAAAGTTTGTAGCTCTGAGGTCCGGATTATAAATCATTCCATATTATGGGTGTCCGGATTAACGACTTTTGACTGTATTTGTTATTTTCTGAGATGATCTAACAGGAAACTAAATGCAGTGTATAGAATCGTCATCTTGAAGTTAATGCACAGAACTACAAAATTCAAGAATGATAGAAATGATTAGCGGCAAAAAATATGGTTAATAAAAACTTTTTGAGTTATATATATATATGTAAGATAAAAATGTATGAATCAGAATTATAATATAACTATAAACATTAATTCTTCCTCTCTATTCTAAAATCGTAATAACTTATCTGCATTGCGTCATTCAGATTAATCATGCGATCTTACGTAAACGTTAATACCAGATGCCTCTTGACAACCAATCACTGAATTGTAAACCAAAACTTTTCTCTTTGCGTGCTTCCATCTTGCATAACTACGCACTTCAGCTTTTGCCCTCTACTCTGCTAAGATGTAATTTCGCTGGCTTGCTTTCCTTCTCAATTATATCAAAAATGTAATGTTCTTGAATAGGCATAACTAGAGTGCCAAGGTGATTGTGGCCACAAATATCAATTGGAAATAAAAGTGGAATTAAAACTGCTTCGACTGCCAAGTTCTTTAGATATTACCAAGTTAGCATTACTAGCATACTGCGCAATCAAAATCTTCTTCAATATGGGTCTAATCAAGCATCTACAGTGTTCCGTCCTTTCCTTTGCTTTTATTATATATATATAAATGATCATTCACTGTTAAGAATAGTCTGTGACAAAGTTAAAATTAACTGCAAATCCAGCCATAAAAACCTCATTATGTTAAGTGTTGCATTTGTGAATAATATTATGTATGGCAGTCAGTAATACCTAATGTTGGTTACCGAGTTAGAGGATAAGTTTAAATATAAAATTTTAATAAAAATAATTTTTTTTAACTAGGTTTCATCAGTGGATAAAAGTAAATGTCTTGCATGTGGAGAAAGTAACCCATATAATGACACTATGGGATCATGTGAATCCTGCATTAATGGGACTTTAGGTAAGGTATTTTTCCCTTTACTTCTTCAAAAATGTAAATATATGTAGATTAATAAGTGACAGAAAGAAGTGTGTAATTTTATTATTGCAGCTTTTCTCAGTTATCAATTATAGCATTGGTACGTATGGGTACTATCACACCCACCTTAATAGGAGGTCTTGAATAATTAGAATGTGCTAAACTCTGGCAACTACACACATAACCATGCTCATAACAACATTTTAATCAAGCAGTATTATAATTTTCATGTGCCTTCATTTTGTTGTATTCCATGCTCCAATGGTTTTTAGAGACAATTTTTTTTTTTTTTTTTTTTTTTTTTTTTTCCCCTTAAATTTTGAGAAGTAGAAAAAAATGTGGTAAAATTTCTTCAGGAGCACAGTATTTTTCCTCAAAAACATTAAAGAGAACAATTGTTTTGAAGTTCTTACTAAAGCAATCATTGCAAAATTTCCTACAGCCAACTGTGCAAACCTGATTGATGATGTTGAAACCATTTTCCCCATGTTTTCTACCAGTTCTGTGCTCACAAAATCTGCAAAATTGGATAAAGCTGACTTTCACTAGTAGGGACATCTGGCAGCCAACAAGCTGAAGGCAACGTTTGGGACATAGAATAGGCATTATGATGGTGAGGTGATGAAGCCAGTGCTGTATGGTGACTAAAGTCACTCTGTTTGATGTACTGCTTTATCCTGTCAAAACCTAATTTTACTGCAGAATCATCATGGACGTAAATACGTCCATGATCCTCATTGATTTTAGCAATGAATTTATGCAGTGTTATGTACAGTACACTCCTGATTATCTGCTGAATTGGGTGGCGCGACCGCCGTGGATAACAAAAATCGCGGATAATCCGAAAAAAGCTAAAAACGGGTATAGCAAAATAGAAAGCAGTCATTCCAACTTTGAAAAATTGTTTTATGTACAAAACATAAAATAAACTGCAGGAAATGTTTAACTAACGCTTATTTTAGTATATCACTCAAAACTAACCTAAAATGCATTTTGTTAATGAAAACAGAAAAGTGCTTTGTACTTACAAGAGGCGTCAAGGATACACAGAAAAATTAATACATATGTACTGTTTTAATACTGTAATGTATTATGTAATTACAATAGCATTACAATAGCATAACTGTAAACTACACCTTTTCGAAGAAATCAGTCATTTGTGTTTGCTTCTTGCTTTGGAAGCATTTTCTCTTGATCCGAGATTGCATTTTTCGTAGCATAAGTTTCTCGGTCAACTCCGCGTCGTCTTGTTCTTTCAAATAGCTCAGCAGTCCGACAATTTGTTGCAAAGCTGCTCCGTGAGTCTTCCGCATCTGTACAGAGGGCTCTTCTCCGCCTTCATTTCGCTGTCCTTCATTCTCGGTCTCTGCCTTTGCTTTCTTCACAATTTCGTCATCTGTCAAGCGTTCAAAGCCAAGCCAGGTTCGTTGACGTCACGCTCCAACCACTCGTTATTGTTTTCAGCATCGAAGTTCTCACCACCCGGAACTATTTTCACCATATCGGCAAGAGTTGCTGTGGACGTGTCTACATCTTCATTCTCTTCTTCACAACTCAAAGGCGTTAGGTTGTTGTTGGCTTCAACATTAGGCATGAGTTTTCTCCATGATTTTATGAGGGTTGACAGTTTCACTGAGTTCCATGCACATGCAATATCGTAGATGCTGTCCAAGATTGTATAGTGTTTCCAAAACTCTTTCAGATCATAACCTTCTTCAATTTTGGTCATTAGCAACTTGGTTCGGTATGTTCTCTTCATTGTTGCAATGACTCCTTGCTCCACGGGTTGGATTATCGCAGTAACGTCTGGGGGGAGAAATTTTGAAAAACATTTGTCCATCAGAAGACTTTAGCACGCTTGTCGCTGGGTGAGAAGGTGCGTTGTCGATCAATAGCACAGCTTTTTCAGGCAGGGTTTTCGATTTAAGATGTTTACGCACTTGAAGAACAAAGATTTTTTCGAACCATTCTTGAAAAATGTTTCGGTTCATCCATCCTTTTTTTTTTTTTTTTTTTTTTTTTTTTTGGTTAAAGTAATCAACGGGCAAATTTTCTATACTTGTGCCTTTGAAAGATCTCGTTTTTTTTTTTTTTTTTTTTTTTTTTTACTTTCCAATGACAACAAGTCTAAGTTTATGTCCACTGGTAGCGTTACTGCAAGACATGATAGTAATCCTTTCCTTGCTGCTTTTATAACCCGCCGCTTTACTTTCACTTTCAAATGCTAAAGTGCGAGTGGGAAAACATTTCTATAAAAGTCCCGATTCGTCGGCATTGTAAATTTGTTCAAAATATGGCTCTTATTTTAAAACAAATTCTTTAAATTCATGGTGGAAATTGTCGGCTGCTTGTTGGTCACCACTAAGTTTCTCCCCATGAAATCCAATTTCTCGAATTCCATGTCGCTGCTTAAAATGAGTCAACCAACCAGAAGACGCATCAAAATTTCCTTTCAGGCCTAACAACTCAAAAAAGGTTTATGGCTTCACTGCAGTGATAGGACCATATGCAGGAGTACCCTCTTTTTGAACTTGAGCTAACCACTCTGTCAATGCCGTGTCTAGCTCATCAAAGGTAGAACCCTTCATAGTTTTTCGCGTTTTTATTGCGGAAGCACTGTCCGACATTGATGCTATGGAAATTTCCTGTTATGTTTTTACCACCAATCCTCAAATTCCATATCACAGATTATGTTCTTACTGCATTAATATAAATATTAACAAGACATAGTGCACAATAAAAATTAAACTTTATTTAGGAACATCGCGCATACTCCCCGACAGCCTGCCTGTTTCGCTCTGCTCGCTACTCGTAAGAACTTCTCCTCTAGGGTTGCCACACTTATCGGAGGGCGCAAGGCGCGCTCCTTATCGCCATCACCACAGAGTTTCCCCCCAGTTCCTTTAATGGCTATTCAAAGGAACGACATAGGTTATGAAATTATCTCAGAGTATCCGAACTGTCGGGTATTTTTACATAAAGTTCACCAGTTTGTCTTTTTGCTTTAGAATGTCATGCACTGTTGTTTCCGCGATTCTGTAATCCAATTCCATCTGCTGCCTTGTAGCGCCGTTTGCTACTTTGGAAATTAATTCTAGTTTTTGTGCAATCATCAACACAACCTTCTTTCGTTTTCCTGGCATTTTAAATCAGTAAAGAAAAATACAAAACCAAAAAGCACAAGCACTGAATGCAATAAAAGATAAGAAATTAACTCCGACCGGTTCGCAAACACTATCAGGCTTAAACTAACAATGGCGAAGTGGACGTGTCAGTAAGATTAAGATGAGAGATTGCGGTGGAGCGGGCAGTGCAAGGGTGAGTAAGAAATCACTTGCTTACAGAGGGGAAGGTTCCGAGAAGGCCTGGGATATTTTTGCTATAAATAAGCACGATGTTAGCAAATTTAACGTTTCGCTCAGTTTTGTGAACTTTCTTATTTTCTTTGCTTTACGCTTGTTAAAAAAAATTGTGCGGCAGGCGCGGATAAACCGCCCGCAGATAATCGGGAGTCTATTGTATTTGTTAGCATAGATGCATCTGCTCAGATATTGCAAGTCTTAATTATCCAGCTGATTCTTAATTATCCGCTGTTAAATTGAGTGAAACATGGGAGATCATTGTACTGTTTCTTGTGGAAGATAATGCCTTGCAGAAATATTCTTAGTGCTCCCCTTGACAATGTAGAGTGAATAATCTTAAGACTGTTGAGATGCAACTGTCAGACTAAGTTAATTTTTGCCACATCATTAAATAATTAAATCATCAATTACATAATTCAATTAAATTGTCAATTATCTCATTTAATATTTAATGGCTTTAGATTTAAGATCCTAAAGTCTAACATGTAACATTGGCATACATGATTCATTATATCCTTCTACTGCAATGAGCTTGCCACTTGTAAATTTGTTTACAATTATTATCCCATGAGTTTTGGCATATCAGTAAACATATATCTAATATCTATATAGTTTACATCTGAACCAAATCTAGATTATCTTAATTGTAACATTTACCATTAGGCTACTAAAGCAATCAGTTAAAACTAGAAATTTTTTACACTTTATGCCAACACATTTTAAAATGTCTAACAGTTAATTATGCAGCTTATTTAAATGAAAACTTTGTTGCTGTAGAAATGTTAGTTTGATTTTTTTTTTTAAATCAAACTACTTCAAGTAGCTGGTGTATTTACTTAATTGCAGCAAAATTTTGTGGTTCTGAAATAACCTAACTAGATAGAATCCTAACTGTAATCTGTAATTACTGTACTTAAAGCTGTAATCTGTAATTATAAAGGGTGCTTAAAACTGTAATCTGTAATCATAAATAGTGAAGCTAATATTTAAAAAAAAATACATATATATATATATATATATATTTTAAAGTTTCTGGTTTTTCAAAGTTAATGCATTTATCCTAGTTTGTTAAATATAAATGTAAAATGACCAGATTAAAATTCTGTCTAGAATTAATATTTCCTTCCTTTTTCTTTTTTATTTATTCAAAAGTACCTTAAGTGTGCATAACATATTTTAATTACTGCATATTAAATAAAATTTTGCTTTTTTGAAGTTGAAGATGGTGACTCGTTAACTTGTATCCCATGTAACAGTGGAGTTGGAAGTGGCACAGAAAGGTGTATCTATCTTGTTTCCTTAGTTTTATAAATAAAATTATTTTAAATTTGTAATTTATGATTATTATTTTAATCATTATTTCAATTTAAGTAATAAAACTGATATTTCATTTTTCTCCTTTTAATTTAGGTGCAGTGCTTGCTCAGATAGAAATTTTGCTAGCCCTAAGCATTGTTTGTTGTTGAATCAGGTAAATTTGGCTTTATACTGGAACAGGAGCTTCTTCTTATGTGTAATATATTTGTGGTATTCCAATTATAATTTTTCTTTCCTTCTAGGTTTATTCTGGTGGTTATTGCTTGCCATCCATTGAAGCAGAACCATCTTTATTCACTATTAAATTTGAAGTAAGAATTTTTTTCCTGTTTATTTCTTAATTAATAAAGAATTTCTTCTAGAAAAGCATATCACATTGTATTGCTTTTATTTATCTAATTTCAAGTTTTAAATTAATGTTCTCTTTTATTACTTTACTTGATATTCAGTATAAGACAAAATAAACTGTTAGTTAAAAAACTTGATTCAATATGTTGTATTCAGTAGTAATTCTTTATGTTAAAAATAAAATTATGTTAAAAGTAAAAATGTTAGAAAGTTATTGAGAAAGGTGATTTGGAAGTTAAATTTTCATTCAAGGAAAACATATTGAGACTTTGCAGGTTAAATAGAAGTTAGAAAAAAGTTGGCTTTCATGCTTTAGGGCTCAGATTAAAAACTGCAAATAAGTCATAGATATTTCTGACTAAAAATTCTTTACAGAATGAAGTTATTTAAAATCTCTTTCAAAGGTCATCTTCAAAATTTGATGATAATGTTTATGAGACTGTCCAATTCTATCCTTCAATATGTTGTCTATCAAAATAAATGCTGTTTTGTAGATAGTCATCATATGTTTTGAATGCTTCATAGATTCGATTAGAATGGGCCAATAAAAAATCACTTTCAGTCTGATTCAATCCAGTTACCAGAATGATTTTTTTTTCTCCTGGAATGGTTAAGAAAACCAAAAGAAACTAGAGAACGTGTACTGCTTATGTGAACTAGCACTAGTATGATATTCTCCTAGAACATTTTGTGACATCTTCTTGGTGTGAAAGCTTATTATATAAATTGCAACTTCTTATAATAAATATTGCTCTTTAAACTATTTTTATTGAGAGCATTTTGAATAATAATAATATATGTACTTGCAGTTTCAACTAACACTGTCACATATTTATAACAGTATATTCTCTCAAAGAACAGAAATTCTAATTTTATCATTCAAATATCAAATTATAACTCATACAGCTTAGCTCGTAAGTGTATTTCTTTTTTATGTATTTTGCTTAGCTGAAGGTATCCCATGTCCTTAGCTGTAGCATTAAAGCAAGGAATGCATGCATGCAAAATTCCTTGCTGCTGAAGAAGAAAAGCCATATTTAGTTTGAAATTTAATAGCTTTTTAATTATTATTCATTGTGAATGGATTCCTTGAAAATACTGTGATGTTGTTGGTGAAAAACTAATATTAATTTGAGGTCAAAATTTGTTTAAATTTGTTTAATGTCAAATTAATCTTTACTGAAAAGAGAAAACTGTCTTATTTTCTTAATGTACTAGAACCAAGTAAGAATTTTCATGCAACCTTTTATAGTAGCTTGAAGCTTAAAATGCCAGTTTATTTGGCATTATAAATTTCAAATAATCAGTTGTCATGTACTGAAAATAGTTTCATTGTAGTCATTTTGAACAGATCAGAAATTATTAAAAGATATTTTTTTAGAATGGTGAAAGTGTTGTTTCTGCTTATTTTAAAGAACATCTAAATGCTGCTTTTAAGAATTGTGAAGTAAGTATATTACAGTGGTGAAATTTTTTGCTTGTTTTCTGCAAATACTGAATTTTAGGAATTAAGATTTTCTCTATTTCTATAGGAATTGAATGATACAGCCTGCCAAGCTTTAGCAAATATGTGTGTGATGCTCATGTATAAGTTGGGTATCAACAATGCATGTATAAAATTTGGTAAACTAGCTACAAAACGTCTAAATGAATGCCCAAGGTGAGCTATTCTGTTAAAAAAATAAGTGTGTAATGTATTTCTAGAAAGGGATCTCTAATCAGTTTGTACATTGATTAACTTTTTTTTTTTTTTTTCAGTTAGCAATTTTCAGATTAGCACATAAATATTCTGTGCATATTAATGCACATAATTTATACAGATAATTTTAAATGTGCATATGGGCACATTAAAAATTATGTGCTGATAAAAATTTTAATATTAAAAAATGTGCACATAAAAATCGAACACAGAAAATTGACAGAGATTTTTAATTCTAAAATCAGCTATTTTTGACATTACATTCAGTTTATATTGAGGAGTTGATAAATAAATAATTAGAATAAATCGAGGTTGATTCCCCCCTCTCAAATGCCATTTAATAACACTGTTTTGTGGTTTACTGACGTCTTTAATTTATAATTATATTGCAATTGATATGCCAAAAGATTTTCACACAAATAATTTATAAGTTTTCAAAGTAGTAATTTCAAAGTTCGTTAATATTTTCATGAAGTTTTATTACTTCAGAATCATAATCTCGTATTCATAAAAAAAATTCATTGAAGCACAAATGTTTTCCATTTTTAATTCGCGCAAATAATGTTGCAAGTTGGCTAAGTGCCCATACTGAAATCTGCTACTTATTTCTAGAAGTAAATTTTATAAGATTTTGTGTACAAAATTTCCATTTTGATCAAAAATTATATTAGTCAATCATTTTCACAATAATCTGCATAGAAATACTTGTTATTTAATCTCTTAATTTAGAAACCATTTTCTAACATGAAAATTTTATTTTTTAATTTCATACAAATGCAGACATTTCGCTTTTCAATTTGTGTATGGTATTAAATTCTGTATCAAATTTTTTAGGAAATGTAATGCATTAAATTAATATTTTAGGATTTTTTTATAATTATTATTATCACTAGCTGCAGTTAAAATAGTCCTGTTAAATGTTTTCTTTTCTAGGAAGAAATTATGGTTGTATTATATAGATGAAGAAGCACAATGGAATGCTGAGAGAGATCTGCATAGGGAAGATGTTCCAAATGTATTTACTCCTTCTCTTGCTCAGGAAGTATGCAAAAATCTAAATTCCTTTTTATGTATATAATAAAATATTGTTCATGTATATAATAAAACGTTAAGATGGCTTTAACTAATTTCTGCAGATTTTAATCTTTGACTATTATGGATTTTATCTATACCTCTTGATTTTAAATATCTCGACTTTAGACCTGAAAAGTCATTTTCTGTATTTTAAATTTTGTGAAAATTTTATATTTATATGTAATTTTGTTTTGATACTGCTGTGTGTATTCTAATTTATGTATATCTGTCTCTATTTTTATATATTTTAAAGTTTGGAAAATATATTGTGCTATGTCTCTGACACTATTTAACCTCTCTGATTTTGTGGCAATAGAACTAACCAATCGATTAAAGCAAAGTAATAAAGCTATTTATCTGCTTGTATACTAGCTCGTCTGCTTTTCATTCCATATGCTCATTTTTTAAGAAACGTATTTCTAATCGGAAAATTATAGAAGATATATTTATGGGATTAACAAAAGGCATTTTCTTCATAAATTTTCTGTTATTTTGATCTTCCTTAATGGTTCCTTAATTCTGACATGGTGGTTAAACTTCTTTAAATGTGATACTGAGAACATAAATAAAAGGAGCTTGATATCTTAATTCCCCTCCCCATTTCATTCTAAAGTTGTCGTACCTGTATATGACACTAACTGGCTTCAGTCTTCTTCCCATCATAACTACCAATCATTTGAACTTTGCTGTTTTATTTTTGCATAAGTTTGTGATTACGTTACACACGAACAAAAATATTCTTTTGCTAGAAAAGCATCATAAGTGCATATGATCAAATATTTACAGTTGATTCTTTGATAAATTATCTTTTTTTTTTTTTTTTCTTTTCACCGAGAAGTTGTTCTCGATGTTCACCGGAGGAAGAGCATTGTTGTGCAAGGAATTTATATGAATATCGATGTTTTAATAAGTAGAAAACTTTAGTGCTGAATGAATATGTGAAGTTGGTAAATGCTGCAGTAATTAGGGGTTTCATCTACTTCAAGGGGTATTGGATTTTAGGTTTTAATTATGAGAAATAATTACATGACTGCATTCTAAAGTGGCTGATGATCAGATGTTGGAAAGAGAGAATATTCAGCAGATGTATTGGTGCATGAAATGGAAAATGTAAATCCGATAAAGCTTAACATTCTCTGAAGAAAAACCTCATGTTCTATCATTTTTCACTCAAAACATGTGCCAATGATGGATGAATTGATAACATTACTACTAGAATCCAACTGTATTTTTATATAAAGTTGAGATAAACAGTGGTAATCATCAGTTAATGTTTATGATTCAACTGAAGACCAACTCTTTCCTTCGTAATATCTTTATCTGTAATGCAACATTGCATTATCAGTTACTTCAATGTAAGCATTTCTGAATAAAGTTCTACTTTATCTTTTTTTATTTATTTTTGAGTACACCTCTGCTGTTATTTTGATTCTTTAAAAAGTTCCTATGAAGTAAAATCCCCTTATTAAAATGTAAAACCTGGCTTGTTTTTTAAGTCATGCATGCCATTATAATTAATTGCATTTATGTTCTGTTTTATTATATTTATGTGCTTAATACTTTGTAATTCCATTTCTTTTCTAGTCATCAAGAGTTTATATACTAGCTATGAAATATGCACTGAATGGTACATTCCTAGGAGTTTTTAAATTAACAAGTGATAGTTTACATGTAAGTATTTCATTCGTTTTAAAAGTTTTGGGTATGCTAGTTCTGAAAATGAAGTAGGTGTCAATAAGTATTTCGTGTCATACATAAAATGCCTGATAAATATGAAAATAAATATGTTATTGTATTTTCAAATATATATCTGCAACAGCTGAATGTTCACATATGTAAAAATTTCTGTTGACATATACACTGCAGAGCCAAAACATTAGGACCACCTGCTTGATAACGTGTTGTATGACCTTAGCCTGCAAAACAGCTGCAACTCGTCTTGGTATGGATGCCACAAGTTCTTGGTAGATAACTGGAGACAGGTTCTACCAGATGTATAAGTGGTAATGCAAATTTAAGATATTCTGACATGGTGGTTTTTGAGCTCTAAGCTGCCACTCCATGACATTCTAAATGTGCTTCTGTCAGGGTAAGATCTGGCGAGGTGGCCAGGAGGTTAATTAGAATTCCTCCAATTCAGCTCGAGCCTTGTGGTATGGGTCATTGTCCTGCTGGAAGATTCCATGGGTTTTCATCCGCAGAGAACCCGCCGTTGCATTTTTACTTGCCAAGCTCACAGTTCATCGACGATGAGCCGAGCCGTAAATATGATATTTTGTAAACGTGATTTTTAGTGCATGTAAATTGAAGTTAGCGGGCAAAACAATATATTAAGCACATGGTAGTAAAAATTCACAGATAATACGCATGTAGATGTAAAACTAACCGGTTAAACGGGATATACGAAAATAAATTTGTATTAAATTCAAGTTAGCACAGAAGCATTTATAACAGAAATAAAAATTCATTTAAAAAACATAAATTAGTATTAATATACTGAAAATAACTGGTTTAACGTGATATACGAAAAAAATTGTCTTAAATTACGTTAACTCAGAAAACAATATTCCTTACACGCGTGGTTTGCTAATTTTGATGACTATGGCGATGCATCAAACTATTCTGTCATCTTATATAATCAAATTTTTGTTTCAATTTAATCATCTATTTTGTCACACTGCCATCCTCTGAAAGGTTATTGTTAGAAAAGCATTAACACTATATTATCTTGTTAAAATTTTATGCCATAAAAATTGATTTATTCTCATAATTTTAGATGACAATAATAAAAATAAAAGCATTACTTAATTATTTAAAATGCACATACACATTTTTGCGGCCTACGAAAACAAATTATTTTAGAGGTTGGAAACCTCATGGTTCTGCTCATGGTTCTTAGAGCTGTTAATAATTAAGAACACAACGTGAACAGCCGTGTTACAAATTAGCATTCACCCCTCCCGCCGTATTTTCTTCCTTTCATCCCGAACCAAGAACCGGCATCTATCTACGAAAATATTTCTATCTATTCGTTGTCAAAAAATTCAAAAAAATAATAAATAAGAGAAGAATAATATAAATTTGCAAATGCAAACAACGACGATATTTCAACAAAATTTGAACGCAAAAGGAATAGTTGCAAACTTCGAACAGGCGAATAGGATAAATACTCTGTGTTATCAGGTTTGAACTATTATCGCCAAAGTTGGCGATGTTTACATTTACCGGGTTCTCTGCAGAAGTGCTTCTGATTCCATTTCTAGTTGGGAAGATGCATGCCAAGGGTAAGGGTGCAACTGATCTGCAGTTATGTTCAGATAATTTGCAACTTTCATGGTCTGTTCTACCACAATGAAGGGTCCCAGAGCCACCCGTGAGAACATCTCCCAAAGCATAATACCATTACCACCAGCCTGTTAACACTAGAACTGTGGGACATTTGATATACCTAGAACCACATTGTGGGTCAGTTTGACAATAGATAGAAAACACCTAAAAATATATACAATTGATTACTTTAGTTAACTAAAACATTTTATTTCTATGTAGCAATCAATATTTCTCAGAATTTATATTAAATATTTTATATAAATCAATGGAAATTGCCTAAATTTTAAAAAAATCGTATTATTTAAAATTTTATTTCCATAAGTATAATAACATGTAGACTAGAAGAGAAACACGCTAATGTGACAATCAAAATCGTAAAAAACACCTTGTATTTAGCGTAGGTATAATGAAACCTCAATCGTTTTGAGGGCAGCTAAGGTCCCTCTCATCAAGAAAGAAATACCTAAAGAAAATAAAGGAGAAGGAGGTCACAAACATGTGGTCCTTATCAGCATTACCGTGTTATAACTAGATTTTTAATCAGAGTTCACTGGCCGCCTACTTTACTGACCGGCTATCTGATCGAGCATGATAAATTAGCAAGTAAAATATGGAGCAAGGGCCAATTGCACCTTACGCTCAAAATCTGAACTCAATAATGAAACACCAATGAATGGATTTTTTATACCCTCTGGTACCAAAGTAACGCCATTATCAGCAAAAATAAACAGAATTAAGATGTAGAATTTTAAAAGGCAAAGAGGATGGATTGGACTTCAAATCATTAACTAACCTGCTAAATCTCTTTGTGAATGGAAAAGCCTCAAGAAAATCCAATTCACCTATGGAAGAAGCCTTTTGGATAATTTTTGCAGATCCAAAATCAAAATGGTTAATTTTGATTTTGATTCTAGGTATTTCTTTCTCCTGATGAGGAGGGACCTTTAGCTGCCCTCGAAATCGATTGAGTGTTTCATTATATCTATGCTAAATACAAGGTTGTTTTTTCGATTTTGATTATAATAACATGTCTTTTAAACAAAATAAAACATAATTTTTCTAATTTTGATGGAAAAACAGAGTATATCATTTAAATAAGTTGGATGTAATTGTAAAGAAAAAAATAAAAATTTTACCAGTTACTAGTTTTACAGATTTTTTTTAAACCCAGTTTATTGTATGCTTTGTGCACAAAATTTAGTAATAAGTTTTGTACATTTATCACAAATGGAGGCTTTGCATTTTAAACAAATATCATGGGTTTTATTTTTACATTTTAAAACTGTGGCATCAGACTCACATTTAACTTGTCTGCTATTTTCAGTGGTTGCCAGGAGAGTACAAACCTTTCTCTCAGTTCTTTAACTAAGTCTTGAATGAATTGCCATCTACTTATAGATTTTCCAGATACAGCTTTGTATAAAACCCAGACATTGATAGCAGCAAGGTCCAAAATATTATAAAAAGCCTGCACCGGCCACCTATGTGAAACAGATTTGACAGTATACTTCCTTGCCATTTGTTCAATCCTATTCACACAGAGCTTAGTTGTGTTGTAGTAAGCAATCATATTATGTAATCTTTTTAGTTTATCTGTAATTTCGACAGCTGGATGAAGTTTACTTAGCTAAAATAGTTACCTGTTTTTTCCCTTGATAAACAGACTGATGTCTTTATGTGTTAGTACCATAGTCACATGCAATTCAGATTTTAACATTTTTACAGACTGGTATTTCTCTTCTTGAGCGTTTCAAAGTTCCTACAGGTCTAGTGTTTTTGGTCTGCAAAGTTCAGTGCTGTGTAAAAGTTATCTGTAGTGACATTTGTACCTTTATTTTCATATGGACTTTGTAGTTCCAGTATTACATGTTCAGAAAGAAACTTTGAATGGACTTATCTGGTTAGTTTTGCATATATTGAGCAAATCTATACCTAGCTTTTGTAGGAAATAACTATTCATCTACAGTTATGTCAGGACTTGCTGTATAGTTAGTCTAGCAATTTTCAATGAAACGATTCCAAATATTGGAAATAAGGGCAAATTTGTATGTCTCTAGATGATTTGATTTTGTATCAAAGCATAAGAATCTCGCTATTTCACGAAATTTGTCTCTTGTCATTGTATTTCGGAAAAACAATGGCCCCAGTTCATTGACCACAAGCTATCCAGTTCATATCCTTTTGCACAAAATATACCACAGGCATATAAAATTGTTATAAAAGCATACATTTCTTCTACTGTGAATATTTCATCACCAGTGCATTTCTTAATATGGTTCAATAACCATTCATCTATGAAAAGTCTCCAGGCACTTGACGGGCTGTTGTCTATAACATTGCGTTTAGCACGTGGTGCTTTCTTCAACATATTTTGCTTTGATTTGCTTCCTTTATTATTTGTTCCTAATTGTAGGACATTCCAAACTGTTCCATCTTTGCCAGTTATTTCTAACGTTGAGTGTTACTGCTGATTTCCTTTTCAGATTTCCTTGAGTGCACGTGCCCTATCTTAGAATTTTTCTTTTTCTTTTTATCTGATAAATTATCATCATTATTGCAATGAGAAGATCCAATGATTGGTAGGGCACTGTAATCATCACTTTCATTTTTTTCATCTGAATTCAAATTTTCTTCATTAGCAGGCAGGTTTTCATCCTTGCTATTCAACATCGAAACATTGTCATCATTATCATCATCTGAATCATTTTCAGATAATTGTTGTAAATATTCCATAGCTTCCTGAACAGTTTTGAACAGTCCTGAATGACGTCGTGACATCTTAATCTATCCTTATACTAAATATAGAATAAAAGCAACTTCAAAGTCTTTCAAACTATTCGTTGTAATTTTCCACTGCATGCAAATGCAATTCATGTTTCGAACCGAACGTTATGACCTGGACTGAGAACCTAAACTATTTTCTATCCTAGTGCAGTGCATTTGAGGAATTTTAGGGTGAGACTGATATACTTTACAGTTATCTGGAGAAAATGCATGTTTTTTGTCATTTAGGCATAAACATGTTTTACAGGTCAAACTGACCCACTTCACAGTTCTAGGTATAAGTGTTAATATTTAGAAATTTATTTATGTTACACATTTTCAAATTCGGTAAGTTATTGTTTACATTAAATTATTAAAAGTCATAAAAGGAAAGTCTTTTTCAATTAATACTTTTCACGTGGTGACAAATTAAAAATCGGTTTGGGCCAAATTGATCAGTTCTGCGGTTCTAGTGTTAATGGCTTGTTGTACAGGAAGGGAGCAACTGTTTGCCTGGAAGGTGACTATTGATGTGATGAATGAGAAATCATGATTCATCTGACCAGGCAACTCTTTTCCATAGTCCGTTGTCGATGTTTGCAGGCCCACTATAGGTGTAATTGACAATCATGCTTGTTCATCAGAAGTACATGAGTGGGACCTCTGCTGCACAGTGCCATATCCAACAGTGTTTACTGAACTGTGTGTTCCAAAGCAATTGCACGTATTTTGCTGTAACAAGCGGGACAGTCTCCAATGTCCTCTTTTTTTTTTTTTTTTGATGATGTATTGACGCGCAACACCTTGGCATCTACTGCTAGTTTCACCATCATTTATCCACTTTACATAAACAGTAGCAACGGCAAATCATAAACATCCTATCAGTCATGCAATTTTCGGAAATACTCATTCGAAGTCTTTAGGCCATTACAATATGTCTTCTGTCAAATTTTCTTAGTTCTACAGCCTTTCCTATCACTCACAGAAGTAAGTGCAAGAATGATGCATTACTTTCTCCAGCAGCAGTTAAATATCATTCCCACTTGATCATGTGCTCTCCACGTGATCCAGACAAGTTCATTGAAAAATGTGGAGATGGACATAATGTTTTGGCTCGTCAGTATATTTGTCACCAATATGGTAAAATTGCAAGCAGAGTTACTGTTAGTGATGCTATTTTTAAATTGGCACTTTTGAGTTTATTAAAAATAAATTTCAAAATGTTAAGATCATAGATATCTTTTAAAGAATATTTGATATTATATGTATTAATCTTAATGGAAAACACATTTATAAATAATTATGTTATATAATTTATAAATTCAAATGAGTTTACATATTACTTAATTATTTGTATGGCAAAAAGCACCGGTAATAACTTGTCTGTTAATATATCCCCTTGTCTAAAATGGGTTTTATTCTACTACCACCTCTAATCATGGTTTTGTAAATGTGGTCTGCTTTCTATAAATAAATTTTCTTCGTAACAGATTTATTTGCAGTTGTCAGTGATTCGCTCCCACAGTATGCCTTCATAACTGATTTCAGTGCATAAAAATTAGTACATTTAGAATTTTTGCCATTGTATTGCTATCTTGAGAGGAAAGAAGCAGATAATTTTATTTTCATAAATTAACTAATCCCAAAGGCACATAATCATAAAATATGGGAGGAGGAGCTAGGAAAGCTTAAATAGAAAGAGATTAAATGTGCTAATGAAAGAAAATGGCAATGGTTATACGTGGTTTCAATAGCTATTCAGTTATTTATTGATGTGCTGTCATCAATGAAAATATAAAAGCACTGTGATAGGCACATTAATGTTTATAAAATCATAAGTCTTGGTTAATATGTAAATTTCCTCAGATATTGTAAGAACATATTTACAAATGCTTTTTACGTGTTTGCTTTTTTTACATAAGTGGAATTATGTGAAATTACAAGTTCTTCTATTTGAATTACTTTTTTTTTTTTTTTTTTTTTTTTCAGTTATGTCCTGAATCAGATATTGAAGAAGATATTGCTTTTGTGTTTGGAACTCATGTTGTAAGAACGGTATGTGTCTGTATAAGCTCTTTTTTTAATTAATTAAATAAATCTGAAATTATTTAAATAGCATTAATGTTTGGTTGAATTTTAATTTGGTGAGGATGAGAGTTTTGACAAAGTGGAAAACTTTGTTCCTTGCCAAAAGAACATAGGTGCTGTAAGTTAAACATAAAATTTAATAGATGCTTTCCTCAAGCTTAAACCAGTGAACAGGATATATCAAGCTATGACCGTGAGTTATAAACAAAACATAAAGATAAAGGATTGAATAACAGGTATTAATTTGACGGGTATATTGTCAGGTACTTGACTGTAATGATTCCATATAATGCTGTCCTGGATATTCGGCTAGATTCCTATTTCAATCATCATCTTTGACAGCTCCTTTCCAAACCAAGATTCCGCACATTACATTGTAACACCACACTGAAGAGAATTATGACTACTGGCCAGGTCAATAACCAGAATGTCAGGAGGACCCACAATCTTCCCAAGTACGCACAGACAGCTTCTTGGCTTCTACCATAGGAATATATAGCGTTGAACTTTATGAGTCTTCAGCGCTACTCAGCCGCAAGAGAGAAATTCAAGTTTCCCAACTTCCCAACACTCCCTCACAGAGTTGAAAAAGAATTTTTTTTTTTTTTTTTTTTTTTTTTTTTTTTTTTAAAGATTCATTAGTTAAAGTTAAAGTCCTAATAGAATTCATACATTTTTCTGTGTTTGTCCCTGACAGTTCATCGTCAAAATATCGGTGGACATTTCTGCTGTAGACACATACTTAATGTCAATTTAATTTTTGCCATTTAACTCTCTTATGTAATAAAAACAAGTATCAGTGTGTTTTGTTTGAGGATGATGAACTTAATTTTTCACTAGTAATCAAGACTTTATGTACTAGCTATAAAAAATAAATGTGAATAAATAAAATGCTGTGCACTTTGATTGTCATGAACAACACACTTGGTTCTGCTATTTTCTCCAAAAAAAAAAAAAAAAAAAAAAAAAAAAAAAAAAAAAAAAAAAAAAAAAAAAAAAAACCTAACTTTCTTAATAGCAAATGTAAGTGCATTGCTTATTTTGAAGCTTCGGTTAGCACTACGTATTCTGCTTCAGTATTTGATAGCACTACAATTCTTTGCTTGTATTTTCAGCCCAATCCATATCTACATAATATTTGAGAATTTGTTTTTTCTCTATGCATTGTCTTTGCATTTAACATTGATTTAAGGTATTGTAGTATGAGTTTTGCTTGAATCCAGTGAAAGTATTTCGCATTAAATTGACTAAGTTTACTAACAGAATTTGCGGTATCAGGTCGTGTAGATACAGCTAAGTAAATTAAGGATTCAGTTAAAAATTAATTAAGGATTCAGTTAAAAATTAATTAAGTAAATTAAGGATTAATACTTATTTTTGTCTACACTTTCATTTTCTTTGGTGACATTTCATGATTTGCATAGTTTAATGGCAGGGTCTAAGAGTGTTGATATAGGCTTACATTCTTGCATAGCATATTTGTCTAAGAGTTCTTTTTTGTACCGAATTTAGCTAATTGATACATTTTTATTTTGTTTGATGCTAATGCCGAAACACTGTTTTATTTTACATAAGTCTTTCATTTCAAACGTTTTATTAGGAATTTTCTTAATGTGTATCATAGATGATTCGCTTTTAGTTAGAATTATCAAATCATACACATGTATCGTGATTATGATACAGTTATCAGTTCCTTTGTGAACATAAATACAATGATCCAATATTAACTTTTCAAACTGCAAAGTTTCATCTAATTTTTTCCACATTTTGTCCACATTTGCTTAAGTCCATAAATTGAATTTTTCAGCTTGCAAACTTTGCCTTCAGAAGTTATAAAATCTTCTGGTTCATCTCTTCATCAATTTTTCCATTCAGATAAACTCTTTAAACGTTCATTTGATGTAATTTTTAGATTATATTTGGCAACTAGACCAGTATTCGTATAGAGCTGTTGCAAACTACAGGTGAAAACGTTTCTGTATAATGTATCCATTTGCATCCAATGGCTTTTCAGTTCTCTGACAAATCAATTAATTCCCATGCATTGTTCCTCATTAAGGAACTATATTCTTCTTGCTGCCATTTATCTGCATCTTATCATTCTTCTGCTTTCCATTTATCTGCATCTGCTTCTTGTACAGTTTCTTGATCCCCAAAAATTTCAGAGTTTACTAAATAAGTGTGTTTTTGCTGATAGATTTCTCTTGGAATTCCCAGTTTTTCTATTTTCAGGAATGCAGGTCTTCCTAATCCTGTTTCTGAACTTTGACCTTGAATTTTGTTTTATTCAGCATATGCCATCTTTCATTTGGCACTTCAGAATTCCTGTTGGCTTCTAAATTTTCTTCAGTAGAAAAAAATTCTATGAATTCCTGTTGGTCAGCTGTTGAAGTTTCTGATCTTGCCTCAGTTTCTGGAAGTTCCAAAAATCTGACTTTGTGTTACTTCACAAGTTCCAGTTTTTCATTGACAATATGCTTTTGTTTTCTCAGAATATCTAAAAAGAATATATTCATCACTTTTCGGGAGAAATTTATTTTTCCTGTTCGATTTGGTTAATGCAAAAGCTATGCTTCCTGTGATTCTGAAATGCAGTACCGTAGGCTTTCTTTTAGACCATATTTTTTTAAGGCATTTTTTTCTTTTTTTTAGTAGGATCTTGGTTACAGATGTAAATGGCTGTCAATACCATTTCTGCCAATAATCCTTGGGGGATAGTTTTGATTTGAACATCAGATATCTGGTCATTTCTACAAAAGTACGATTTGAGTATTCTGCAACATTGTTTAGTTTTGGTCTGTACTCAAAAGAAAACTGGTGTGTAATGGCCTCCTTTTCTAAGAATTTATTAAATTCATAGCTTTTGAATTCTTATGCATTATTGTTGCAGAGTATTTTAAGTTTCCCTGTTTGCTTTTCAGCTTGAAATTTGTACTTTAAAATTCTTCAAGGGTTTGGGACCTCTATCCTAGGGCACAAACAGTAATTTTCTGCAGTTTACCATCTATCATCTATAAATGTTTTGAAATATTTTGCACCACCTAAAGATATAATGTTAATGGGACCATAAATATCAATGTGTACAAGTTCAACAACATCACAGTTTACTGTATATGTTTCCTAGGAAAATAGTAATCTTGTGTGTTTGCATTTGGTACAAGTTTCACAAAATAGTTTTATTATTACATTTTGGAAACTTTAGACCGTACACCAACTTTTTCAACTTTTTAGAACGCAACACTTTTAAGTCACCTAAATTTAAGTGATCGCCTTTCAAGCTACAGTTTCAGTTTATTTTGAATTATTTGCATTCCCCTTTGCAACAATTAAAACATTGGTTGTGTCCTGTTGATTTACAACATATAAGGCATTTTGTCTTGATGCTTGTAAGACTTTGCATTTATTTTTGTTTTGATTCATTCTAAAGACACATGATTATTTCTAAAGTAGGCAGTACAACAAACAAAAATGTAATGTTTCATTACCAAGTAAACTGAAATTAAGTTCATTTTTAGGTTGGGATTTTATGTATGACACAGCATTAAGTATTATGTGTTATGAAGTTGAAAAGACTGTTGCATAAATTTCAACTTTACCTTTGACTTCTAAAAATTCGTTATTATGCAGTTTGTATTTCAACTATTGCTGTGAATTTACTTCCGTCGTTGTACATGTGTGCAGTTGCTTTTGAATCAAGGTAGCAATTATATATTCCAAATTCTTGCAACGTATTCACAATTTTGAGAAAACAATTTTGTTTACAGGATTCTTAATCAGGCTTTTTGCATTTGTTTTGTCTACATTCTGATAATTTGTGTCCTTTTCTCTTACAGTTATAGCACCTAAAGGTTTCTGAATTCTTAGATTTCTTTTTGTGCATTGCCATGATATTAAGCAACTAAGGCGTCCTGCACTTGGCTGTTAACCTTCACTTAAAAGTTGGCAACTTTCAGATTCTTCTAGTGATTTAACTTTTAGTATGTTTAAGTAGGGCAGTTTATCATGAGATTCTGTCATGATTCTAAAACTTTCTAGTGCTGTAAGTTAAACATAAACTTTAATGTGTACTTTCCTTGAGCTTAACAAAACCAATGAGGAGGGTATGTTAACTTATATCATGTGAGGAATAAACATAACATGAAGAAGATGAAGGATATATAACGGTTGATTGACTCGACTGGTATATTGTGAGATTTTTGGCTGTAACAGCTCCATATGATGCTGTCTAAGATTTTTGGCTAGATTCCTATTTCCATCATAATCTTCAACAACTCCTTTCCATACTTTAGATCCCAATACCACACTGAAGAGAATTGCAGCTACTGGTCGTGGCGATAACCAGGATGTCAGGAAGACACACTGTCTTCTCCAGCACACTCAGACATCTTCTGGCTTATACCGTGTAAAGTTCTGTGTAGAGTAACAAACATGTCTCTAGCATGGCGCAACTGCAAGGATGAAATGCAAATTTCCCAACATGTTTAGAATTCATGTTTGCTCGGTATTAATAATATGAAGACAGAATTCAATGAAGGGGTTAATAACTTTGTAAATTTATAATTCTGAATATCTAGTTAAAATATTAATGAGAAAGATCCAATAAGTTTTATCCAATGAAATTAAAAACATTTAATATGTAAAACTTCATTTATTTTATTTTTTAAGGTCATGTTTATATGGCAAAGCTATTACTTACGAATAAGTGTTAGTTTTTTTTTTTTATGCATTTCTATTAACTGATATAAGATTAAAAATGTCTGAATATTCAGTATGTGTTATATTTTATAAGCTATTTAACAGTACAAAATATTATCAAAATTTGTAGATAAAAATAGAAATTTTTTTATTATTATCAATAAATTTGATTTAACTATTAAAAACCTTATTAAATCTTCTAGTTCATGTACTTTAGGCATTAATGTTATTAACTGTCTCTGTGTAAAATGAAGTGCATGCTTGCAGCAGCAAAGCTGATTATAACATTACTGTTCTTTGTAATTGCTAGCAATATTAAACTGATGCAAAAATATGTGTTTTTATGTACATTTTATTATCTGTTTGTAAATATGCAAGATTTTTTGAAGATATTCATTTGACTGTTTTAACATCTGAATTACTATGTGAAACGGTAGAGGGGATTATAATTAAAGTTCCATTTTCAAAAGTTTTTAAAAAAGAACCACTAGTCAGAATGACCAGAAATTTGGCTTGATTAAAATATGAAGCAAATATGAAGCAATGAGAATTTATCTAGGGGATGAAAAAAATAGTTCAAAATTTTGTCAATAGATAGCAATTAAAAAGACGGAGTATGTGTAGTTCCCATAATTCTGCATCTGAAAAGCTCTTCATGACTTTAATGACTTCATGACGTTCTTAAGTGAAACATTCGGTTCAATTTGTGAAGCTTTTGACAAGAATGGCGACAACTTCAGCTGCCTTCAAGAAATTCTAGACCTTAATGTGTATAAGATGCAGCTATAGTCCAGTGTCTGCAGTTTTGAATATTGACAGAAGCTTGTAGACTCAATCTTTCTCATTAATATTTTAACTAGCTATTCAGAATTATAAATTTACAAAGTTATTAACCCCTTCATTGAATTCTGTCTTCATATTATTAATACCGAGCAAATATGAATTCTAAACATGTTAGGAAAATTGCATTTCTTCCTTGCAGTTGTGCCATGCTGGAGACAGGTTTGTTACCCTATATAAAACCACAGTAGAAGCCAGAAGATGTCTGAGTGTGCTGGAGAAGACTGTGTGTCTTCCTGATGTCCTGGTTATCACCAGGACCGGTAGCCCCAATTCTGAATGAAATGAGCTTCGTATGTCCAAAAGATATTCCATGATTATACATTGTCCACTAGAGAAATTATAGGGCAAAAGTTTGTTTTGTTGGCAGGTCAGCAAGAAGCAACTCCTGAACATGCATAATTTGGAATGGTTGGCATTGCAGAATGTTTCATAAAATTTCATATACTGTGCTGATAGGCTTATCTAAAGATCGTCAGTTCTTGCACTGCACAGTCCCACACTACTTCGCATCTCTTCTTGCAATGCCACAGCTTCCATTGACACTGAAACAACTGCTTTACTCCCTGTGCTAGATCTTGTCAAATAAACTAGTCTCTTCAAATTTACAAATTATATCCACAGACATTGGACCAGAGTAGCATCTTATACCCATTAATATCCTGAACTTCTTCAGGGCAGTAAAAGCACAACCACTATTGTTGTAAAAAAGTGTCACAAGCAGAGTTTGATGCTTCATTGTGAGAGTCATGATGAACTTCTCAGATGTAGAATAGCAGGAACTGTGCATACTGCAGGCAGAGAGAACTTCTATACAATGAAGGGGCTAATAACTTTTCTATAAGTTCATTGTTTTGTGTTGTTATTAAGTCTAATATGTAGTGTGCATTGTCACATCTTTTAATTAGCATATTGAAACAAGTACAGCATCATCTATTGGTAAATTTTGAACTATTTTTTCTTTTACCTGACAAATTTCTATCAGAGATATATTAAGTATTCGATATTCTTCTATTGTTTCATATATATTATGTATTTAGGTCAAATTTCAGGTTTTTATGATGAGTGGCTCATTTTTTACAGCCTTTTGAAAATGAACTTTCACCTGTATATAGAACAATTGATTTCTGCAATTAGAGTAAATCTATTCTGCCAGTTAGAACATTAATACTAGTTTTAATTTAATTAAATTGTTACTTGTTCTATTTTATTTTCAGTGTATAAAGTCTTTACAAATCTTATGGAAAAACTCGGAGCTTGTATTTTATGACTTGTGTATCCTTTCTTACCTTCCTTACTTATATCAGTAGCTGTGAAATTACATTGTGTAATTTTATATTTATTAAATTTTCATTGCAAATAAAGATTTGTGGTTTTTTTATATGATTTAAAATATGTTATATGTGTTAAAAAATTCCTTAATTTCAGTAAGATCTTGTAAATACTAAAAATAAAAGTGAAATGTATCCTATTCCTGTCCTTATACGTGGTATAAATGTTAATGGTGAATTTGTAAATATGGGTGAGTAGTCTTGTTTTTTATTTGTAATATATTTGATGTTTAATGTATTTTTCATATTGGAAAATTTTAGTTTTAAAATGTCAGAATCAGTAAGATGCAAAATTATTTGAGCACAATAGGTTACCTTCTTACAAAATAATGTTTTGTTCTTACTCTTTTAATTTAAAATATATGTTTTGGCCACCAGAGATCTCTGCCTGTCTTTGAGGTATTATTTCGCAATGCGCAGATTGTATGCGTAGCTCGCATTTTGTTCTTGCATTCTTAAAACCGCTAATTGTAACTCTGTCGTTTTACTTTGTGCTGTGTTGTGTTCGAAAGTTCAAACTCCCGAATAAAGGTTAATTTACAGTCCACTCGCATTGATGTATTCTTAGGTTTATTAATTTAAAGTTAAGATACTGCTACGCTACATTATTTGATCGTCCTACGCCGGAGCTTTGAGTAAAACCCGCGCTTGTGAATAAGAATTCTACGTGTCCGTAATGGTGTTGATAATGCAATTTCGGTTTAGAATTCTAAAGAGTTATGCAATGGATACAGTGTTCGAGGTGAGTGAAATAGTTAACGCATTTTAATTGCATTTGACATTTCGTTATTGCTACTATTTTTGTGTTTAAAGGATTAGTAAAATCGAGAATATTTTCAAAATGTCAGATATAGAAAAAAAGTGAAAGAGAATTTTGAAAACACAGTTTACGAAATTCATCGAGAGAATAGATTATGATAACTTAGATAATGCTGAAGCTGAATTAATCTTAGAAAAATGTAAAATCTTTAAGGAAGATTTTAAATCTCTATTTAGAGAAATTTATACAAATTGTGATGATGATAAAATAGACACTTTCGTTGAGGAAGAACAGTCGATTTTAGAGAAAATTGAGGAGGTTCACTTAAAAATTATTCGTAAGTTAAAGATTTACAAGGTCATAAATGCAAATGGCGATAAACCTGTTATACCTGAATCAATCTCTGAAAGTTAAAGTTACCGAAATTATCTTTACCCACATTTAGCGGAAATTTAACTGAATGGATAACATTTAAAGATTTATTTAACGCTAGTGTTCGCAACAATCCAAATCTTTCTGGAGCTCAAAAATTACAATATTTAAAGAGTTCTTTGAAAAATGATGCTTATCGCATTATTCAGTCAATTCCCATAGCTGATCAAAATTTCAGTATTGCTTGGAATTTACTAGAAGAGAGATTTTCTAATAAGAGAGAACAGATATTTGCTTTTATTAAAAGAATTCTTAATGTTTCACAAATACAAACGGAATCTACATCCTCGATATTAAATTTAGTAGATAACGTAAATGAAATAACTCGCTCATTGGAAATATTAGATCAAAGGATAGATAATTTTAGTGATACTTTGTTGTTGTATATTATTTTGCAAAAACTTGATGTTTCGACAAAGTTGTGGTGGGAGCGTCAATTAAAAAAAGGCAAAATACCAAAGTTGAATTACTTGATAGAATTTTTGAAGAATTACGCTAGAACATTACAGAACAGTAAACCTTTAATTAGTTAAACACATAAATCAGATAAACCAGTGTATAATAGGGTTATTTCTCTGATTACTAATTCTACCTGCTTATTTTGTAAAGAAGATCATTTTTTATACAGGTGTTCTAATTTTTTAAATTTACCAGTGCGAAAACGAATAGAGTTTGTTAAGACTAATAAACTTTGTTTTAATTGCTTGTCTAATGTCCATAAAGTTAAAATGTGTAAGAGTGCAAATACCTGCAAGCATTATTTTAAGCATCATAATAGCATATTGCATTTAGAAAATAATTTCAAACCAAAAAGTGCATCTAGATTCCCTTCACCGGAAGCACAAGTGTTTGTTCCGAAATCCCAAATTAAACCAGAAAACGACTTGAGTGAGGTTTCTCTAACTGTTTGTGCAAACAACTATGAAAATCAACATTTCGGAGCTCATGCTAATGGTAAACGTAGTCATGTACTTTAGTGTACTGCTTTAATTAAGGTTCAAAACTCAAAAAATGAATTCATAAATTGTAGATGTTTACTAGATTCAGGTAGTGAAAATCATTCATTCGTCAGGAAAATAGCTATCAATTTAGGATTGAGCATAAAGGATTTCGAAGATATTAGTGTCATGCTTAGGTACTTTCAATACAACTACTACTGGAGAAGTTTAGTTGTTGTTTACACCTCATTTTAATACTAATTACAGAATTTCAACATCCGCTTACATAATAGACAAAATTACAGGAAACATTACAAGTGTAACATTACCTTTGAATTTATATGAAAGTTTCGAAGATTTAACTTTAGCAGATCCTACATTTCATGAATCGGGAGAAATTGATATTTTGCTTGGAGTTAATGTATTCCTTACTTTAATCAATGGCGAGGTAATTAAAAGGGGCATCTTCCATTTGCATGTTGTTCTAAGTTAGAATGGGTAATTGCTGGAACTACACATTTTGAATTCCCAAACCGTAAGCAGGTTTCAGTCAATACGCTAAACGAAAACATGGAGGAATTAGTTAAATCATTTTGGGATTTGGAACAAATTCCCACATCGAAACCTTTAACTAAAGAGGAAAGATTGTGTGAAAATCTTTTCGTGGAAAATCACGTACGTAGTGAAAATGGTCGTTACTCAGTAAAATTGCCATTCAAGCCTAAAAGAAATGAGTTGGATAATTCCAGACTAACAGCCTTATTACGTATTTCCAGCGTCATTCTGACTAGAGGGCGCTGCGTTCGTCCTAATAGTCAGTGGCAGGCAGGATACTAAAGGTGTAAGACGTGGAAGGCAGAGATGCCTAATAATGTATCTCTAATTGATTGAAATTTTCGTATATTTTCATGTAAATAAATGTTGTTATTGTTAACAAAACCTCTTATTATCTCTTGGATGCACCTTTAGTCTCACAGAACCATTAGATGCAAAATTGGTGCATCTTGTCCGCGAATGTGGAATACCGGAAGTAACTAGTCATCATTACTGGATTATAAGTTTTGAGAAGTTTGGATACTTTACGCACGCTTTTAGTATACGTAACCATTGCATAACTGGACTTGTGGAGGTAAAGATCTTTTGAACTACAATATTCGGAGTTAATATGGATAAAGCTTTCGAAAATAATTGAAAAAAGAAGTAACGTTCGCGCTAGTGTTACTAAACTAGTTAAAAGAGTGCAGAAGCTTGATGAAGCCGTCGAAAGACGTAAGTTCATTATCAGAACTACTGGAACTATTAGAAACGAAAGAGCAGATCTTGAAAAGCCATGATTTAGAGGTGGAAGCACTCATAGACGATCCGGAAAAAACTTTAAAGGTGAAGTTAAAAGGCTTCGGAAGAATACGAGGACAAAATATTGTTAGCTAAGATTAAACTAAAAAGCAAAATTAAAGAATTAGCAGCAGAAAATGTTCAGCGGACTTCTTCAGTTCTTAACACATCTAGTGTTTCGGAAAACACTGTTACGGCTTTAAAATTACCAAAGTTAGAAATTTCGCAATTCTATGGTGATTCTGGCAAATTTATGGAATTCTTAAACTGTTTTGATAGCGCAATCGGTTCAAACAATTCACTTACGAAAATTGAAAAATTCCAATATTTAAAATCTCTTTTTTCTGGTCCTGCATATAACGTAGTTGCGGGTTTTGAATTGAATGAGAAAAACTATGACTCATGTCTTGAGCTTTTGAAACAAAGATATGGTAGAACTGATTCTATTATAAATTCTTACATGACTAAATTATTAAGCTTAGAACCCGTGAGAAGTTCGTCTAATGTTAAGGGTTTGCGTAAATTATATGATGAAATAGAAGTTAATATAAGAAATTTGCGTTCATTAAATGTAACGGAGGGTTCATATGGGCATTTATTGAATCCAATATTATTGAAGTTGCTACCACAAGATTTGGTGTTAGATTTTCACCGGAAACGAAACAAGGAAGTGAATTGTGAGGTTTCGGAAATTATTACGTTTTTGAGGAATGAAGTCGAATCTAGGGAAATTGCCGAAACTGTGATGAGCCCCCTAAAAAGTTACGAAGCAAAACGATCCTTTTCCCAAAATTATCAAAGTGGTCAAACTTATCAGAAAAACTATTCAAAGCCTAAAAATATATCAACCGCTTCAGCGTTAAATGCACAAATAAAAAATGTTTGTTTATTCTGTGACAGTCATCACGATTCCGTAAGTTGTAAAAAATTGGATGTAGAACAAAAAATAAATAAGCTTAGGACTGAAGCTAGATGCTGGTGTTGTTTCCAGAAATATCACAGGTCTCGCGTATGCAGGGCAAAAAATATCGTGTAAAAATTGTTTTAAGTAATTTTCATCATGAGTCAGTGTGTAGAAAAAATAAACCCGTTAATGTTACTTTGAAAGGTTGTGAGAAGCAAGTGGAAAGCGAAACTGTTTTGAATGACTCACAATCTAAATCTAATAAAAAGCGCCGAGAATATTTCTGTATCTCATAGAAATATATGTCTCATACGACATGATATTTATACATATCTTTGACATGTACCAAAAATAAGCCCTTTTTACAAACATGTACAGTTTTAGCCTGTTCGGATAAAAAATTCGGTTCTTAACTAATGTCATTTTAGACAATGGTAGTCATCGAAGTTTTATTTCTTCTCGATTAGTTAAATCGAGAGTAAGAATTAAAAAAAGAATTAAAATTAAAGCCAATACGCTGCAAAAGAATAGCCATTTTTGCTTTCGGAGACAAAATAGCACGTGAGAAGGAATATGGTATCGTTTCATTGACGTTGCTCAATAGGGATCAAAGTTCGAAATCGTACGAGTTAGAAGCTGTCATAACGGAATATATATCTAATTTGTCCTTGAAAATTCCTGATGTATCTATTCGCAATGCGTTGAAGGAAAGAGGTTTACCTTTGGCTGATTCATTTTCTGGTGACTGCCAGACGGAAATACTTATCCGATGGGATTCATTTTGGGATGTTGTTTATGACCAGAGAGTAAAGTTAAATGAAAACATTACTGCGATAAATTCTTAA